CGATTTTGATAATGCTATTTACTAGGAAAACCTCCACCTTCCTTTACACAGTCTTACTTCGCTTCTTCCTTTTGTCAAACATTTCAAAGGAATTCTCTGAGAGAGTCAAAAGGCATTGACTTTTCTTTATTTTAGGGCTTCTTCTTTTTGGTCTGTTCTTTTTATAAATGATCAGTGTGTGGTTATTGAGTATAGGAACTAGAGGATGTGATATACAGAACCAGAGAAATAGAAAAAAATAATAAGCACCCAAGATGGTTAACCAAGATGGTATGGTTCAAAATTTGAACATAGTAAATCAGTTGTGCGCGCAGTTCGTGCTGTATACTGAAGAAGGTAATTTGAGCCCCTTGCGTTCAGTAAGAAAATAATTCACAGGCGATACATTTTTCTTTATTTCATGAACAGAATTTCCCTTTTTTTTCAGCTTTGTTTTGAAAGAAGGGTTTAATTCTTTGATAGATTTGTGAACCCGCGTGGGAGTTTGAGCGCCGACTAAAATCATTAATACATCAACCTATTTTACCAGGTGTGACATCTGAATTTATAATCTCTTATTTCTCTTATTTTTCATCCTGCAAACAACAACATAACCTTGCCAGAGGTTCCTTTACACAAGCTAGCACGATGGTGATATGGCGCCTTTGGTAAAGGAAAGAATCGAGTCGTCACCTTGATGCTGTAAGTGTTCTGTGATCTTAAAAATAGTTATAACATTTGTTAGAATATTCAAATTCAAAAGGGCAAGCTCGAGCGTGCTACATATTCCTATTGAACACGATGATGACGCTAAACCTCAAGTTCTTGTGAGCTTGCCAATACTTCCAAAACGCCTTCCAGGTGCATCCTTAACTTAACAGTGGACGACGTAGCGTTTAACATGTGTTTTATGTAACGTAAATTTAAGAGAAAACTTTTGAATTTGTTAACCGATAGTAGGTAAAACAGGTGAGTGTTGTTGTCATCTCCGCGAGCTGTGCAGGCTATGGCGTGTGCAAATCATTCTTTGCAAAGTTTTTTCTCTCAAGCGAATTTTTCGGTAAATTAATAGTTTTCCCGCTCCTCAATATATATTATATGATCTTTTTTAATGTTGTCTTAAAAGACTTGAGTAAACTTTCTCTCAATTACAGCTAAAACATTTCTCAACGCCTGTTAAATGCCTAGCAAAAGAAATAAAATCGAAACGACGAAAAAGAGCGATAAAAAGGGGAAAATTGACAAAGCGACAGTTCAGAGTGCCTCATGTCAAGACCCCAAAGCTAGCGCGTAATTTTTTCTTCTTTCTGAATTGAAATGGTATGGCATCAGAAACAAAATCCAACGTCTTCCCCAACTTAGAAACGCCCTGGGTAGTTTTGGCTCTTTTTGCTTAGATGGTGACCATAAAACGGCGCAACTAGCTTCAAACGAAAGCGAATGGGTTTAACAGTCACTTTGTTAAAGTGCACTAGAATATGTCCTCTGTAATGGTCTTTAATTTCTATTTGCCGATTGGCACTAGGGAGAAGACAAAAGGTGGAAAACCCTTTGATATTAATTTCGCTTCACTTCTAATGGATATTGCTTAGCGCTTTGCATTTTAGGTTAAGTATGAGATACGCTTACAAAGGTAAAAAACTCCTACTAAACTCAAATGAGGTTAGTTTCTTTCTAAAGTCTTTTAGAAGAAAATCACATGGGTGAAGCGTGAGATTTTGAGGATGTTAACGCACGGAAAGAAAGGTTAGACTGCTGAAGGTACTCTAAACTGCTCGGTATGGGGGCATGCTCCTCCGAAGGATGTTTCAGATTTGGGCTCAGATTTGGCATTTAATTCCGACTTTTTTCTGCAGTACATTTTAATAAATACGAAGGAAAATAGTTAGTTGTTTATTTTACATCTCTATAGACAGTGTTATGGGTAAGGTACAGTGTTTACGGGAAAGAAGGGTAAAACAGTGACACCACCAAGAAGGTTTCAAGCAAAGGGCGAGACGTCTACCCTTCAGACGGGCAGAGATACCAATAAAAAGCAAAAGATTGATCAAATCATCCCGATTAAATAATAAAAATGTTTTCAGGAAATAATTTTTTTCCAGATTTCAGCTGTACGCATGGGCTACGCTCCTGGATCAGGCGGTTACCGGAATGTAGGTGTTTTGAGCATTCAGTATCATATGATGAAAGTCTCGAATCATCCTCTTTATGAAGTGTGATTGGAGACTTTTATCGTGATCTGAGAGCAATCTGTCTCAGAAAAATATTTTCAAGATCTATATAGCAAATTCTTACATAGTTTATAGTTTCATCAAAAGCTTTAGCTAAAGTCTCACAGCTCTTTCACTGTTCTTGTGGGACGTAAAAAAACCCACACTGCTGTTCGTAAAGAGTAGGGGGCGTAGACCCTGGTGGTGTGGTACAACCTTTCATGCGCTGGGTGAGTAATAAGGGGGTTGATATCAGTTAGGACGTGACTCCTTTTTCATTCTAGTCACCGTGGCGGATTCAATAAAGGATTAAGGACGAACTGATAAGATAAGATAAGATAAGATACTTAATTTAACGTAGAGACGACGCTTAGATGAGCTCCTTTACCGGTAATCCACAGCCCTTGGCTAGTATATTCTAAAACTTAAAGGCTAAAAATGCGCAATAATTCATCAGATAAGAACTGTAAAAGCTAAGTACTAAGAATATATAAAAATAAAATAAAATAAATGAAGAACGGCATCCAACAACTGCACTGTCGTAACTGGTTTTCGCAGATTTTGCTTGGACAAAAAAAAGACTTTGTAAATCCGTCACGTGCTTTTCTGTGATTATCGAAAATATTAGTCGAATTGGTAACGGGTTTAAATTAAGGCCTGCTGTAAGTAAGTCCAGACGTATAGCAAGGTCCTTTTCAATTTAGAATAGTCGTCCCGCCATAGCCCAGGATAGATGGAATAGAGGCTCAGCTTGTCATAAAGCTGAATTATTTTAATAGATTATGTGAATATTTGAAATATGTCTCCAAAGGAGACATTCCGGACATTGAAGGCTTTTATCCTCTACTGACTTTCAGCGCGCGAGGTTCTCCAACTAGCCATATTGGAGCAATGAAGGTAAATCTTGCTCCGTAATAAATAATAATAAATTAATAAGCTTAAATAACATAGCCGTCAACGTCTTTAAAACTTTATGGAATTTGTAGAACTTAAGCACAAAATTTAAACTGCTTACTAATATATATATTATATGGAATTTCATTTATTGCTTCATTTTAATGAGCGTCCTTAAAATACTTTGGCACTAAAATAATATGTTATTTATTAATGTATTATTATTTGTTATGAAGCAATTCACAAAATGTGGAGAACAAACATAATATCCTAAGTGTGAATCACTTAGATACGGTCTCCTGGAAATAATTTAACGTTAAGCCGTAAGAGAAGGCCTCAAGTGTAAATTACGTTAATCTCTTCGGCAGCCACGTGTATGGTATTGTAGAACAAAAATATTTTCTAATTTTTAAGTACCTCGTCTACAATGACAAAGAGATTACAGCCAATGGAAATAGTGGTCTTAAGTGCAAGGGGAAGCTAGGATTTTTTTTTTTCTCTTGACGTTTGTTAGCAATGAAAAGTAATGGCAGAAAGCCCCAAGAAGAGCTAGACTTTCCAAGAATTAACTTAGAGAGAGCGGAAAATGTGAATCATTGTTTTACACTCTTAGACTGGAATGTTGCTACTTATCGTGCTGTCCAGTAAAAAAAAAAAACTTCCACGGGGTAAAAATCAGTGGGTAGAGTGGTCGTGAATCGTGGGTCGTGGGTGATACAAGTTTCTCCGCCTCACCTTTCAAAGCAAATGACGAGCAGCGAAATCGTAAAATGATTATAATAAAAAGTAATAAAGAGAAATCTGAAGAACTGCTTATATCCATTTATGGCTACCTAGTTAGCTAATAGTATCACTTTAAGACAAAAGAAATAAATAAGATTGATTTATCGAGGTAATGTTAAGCAATTTTAAGCGTGTGGGTTAGCCGTTGAAACGTCTGTTCTGTGTCAAGGTTTGTAGTTCTTTTCTATAGACAAAGTCTATTAGTGAATTAATTTCTTATCGTGATTCATCTTTAGTTTTCCTAGCTTATGAACGTCAGTGAAACCCTTAAAACACAAAACGTAATAGTTTTTAACTCACCGGTCTTTTCAAAAATAGCTTCTAACATGCATCACGCCTTTTTGTACATTTCTTTGCCGTTCATGAACAACTACTACGTGAAATTGCCTAATTTTACGTGTTATGGAGGACGTAAATAAGCCACGACGAAAGTCATATTTCTCTTCCAGAACTTGGATATTGTCCCGTCTGGAATTCAACTTCAGGCCCCGGTTGTTCAAACGTTGGATAGCGCTATCCACCGGATAAATCACTATCCAGCGGATAAGTATTAGGGAAACCAATTGCGTTATCCACTGGATAGATTTTTATCCGGTGGATAGCGTTATCCAACGTTTGAACAACCGGGGCCAGGAGGGTTCGCCCACATTTGAGAAAGTGGATGGGTAGGAATAATCGCAATTAAGACGGTAGGAACGCAAGTTCACCTTTTAAGCGATGTTTTCGATGCCATCGCGTCCTGGGATCTTAAAGACTGAAAAATGAAAACAGCCAAATATAAACTACTTATCCGAAAATTACTCACACGAAAGGCCTAGCACGTGTAATTGATGAGTGAATAGATGAAACAACTTAGCCTGCCTTAACCTTCCCAAATTCTCACCCCTTCAATTAACTAAATCGTTTTCGTTTTCCTCTATTTGCCTTTAATTTAAGTTCCTTCTCTATTGGCTTATACTTTTCGATGACAATATAGAAGAACACGAGCTCCGCATTTAGGCTTAGCTAAATTTGTATTTTTGGGGGAGGAAGGTTTTGCTCCCTTCCCACGAATTTTCCCACACCCGACGACAAGTGGGCACTTTAGCCTCCAGGACGGGACAAAAGTGGACAAAAAAGTATCACTGAGTTTTTACTGAGGCTCATCGCATTTATTATAACAAGACAAATATATATTTACTTTTATAACATCTCGCCTTATACAAGCAGATCTTTGATATAAAAGATAAATCTCTTTTCTACGGTTTGTTTTATATATCATATAATTTATATAATTACAAATTAAAATAATTTCCTTTTATAATTTGCCTTCTACTATTAACAGTTAACAATTATAAAAATACAATACTAGACACTAATATTTACACATAACCTTAATGATAACAAATACAGCGCATGCATGTAAGTGGTAAATGCACATTTCAAAAATATTGTCCATTGACTTTTAAGTCTGGTACGATGGTTTCCTCTAACCAGAGCTAAAAAGGTGGGTTGTGTTTCCCAGGGTGGTGTGGGTGGGGAATACTCCTGATTGAATTTTTTTGATGATGATGAAGATGATGATGAAAATAATAAATAATAATAAGTTTTATTGGTTCGCAATTTGCTATTTTGAGATTTTTGGTCGGATAGGACGATCTTTTATTTGCATGCGAGAGGCTCGAGACTCGAGAAAAATGGGATTCGGGTGTTTTAGTTATGGGGATATTACATTTCTCGCTTTTAGAGCCAAGGCTGCTGTTTTGTTTGCATTTCTGCCCCAACTGATTATCCCGTCACGTTGAATCCACAGTACCTCTGCCCCCACCCCGCTCCCCTCACCGCCGCTTCTCAATCCCCTGCCATTCCCAGGGTGGATTTTTTTCTAGCTTCTCAGAAAGAAAACAATCCGCCAACTTTTGTTAAGGAGCTATGTCACGTTGTCACCATCTTAAAAAAGTTGGCCTCAATTCTTTTTCTTTTTCTTTTTTTTTATTCTCGCCTTTCTCTGTACTTAGTGTTTGTGTTACCTTTCTGGTAGTTTTCCATTTTACCAAACAATTGGTTTGGTGAATAAATATTTTTTTTCAATCTTAAGATATCTTTGTTTGTTGCTAATCTCTTACTCAGAGTTTCATGACAGAGCTCCCTACGTCTATGATCTCGTCATTGAACGGGTTTTTCTTATTTTTCTTTCCTATAGAATTGGCTCGGATAGGAGGAGATCACAGATCATAGTTCTGTTGCCTTAATCATTTTGCTAAGTCATCTTGGCTCTTTCAAGACGCTGCCTCATCTAAATCCATTGTTTGACTACTTCCTTGCGCATTCTCACTTCTTCTTTTCATCTTTAAGTGCCTCTGTTTGTCTTTTAGATGGTTTCGTTGATAATCGTCCGAAATTGTCCACATCGACTTGTATGGTCGCTTGGGGTCTGGGACTCGAACGAAACGCTTTCTGAGCGATAGAGTGTGACGTACCGCGTTCTGTCGAGAGAGAAAATGATTTTTAGATTTATCATAAGATATAATGTTGATTATTATTATAGGATACATATGATGGGTTGAGTGGGTTACTGTTTACAAGCTAATAAATAGACCGATAGCGGAAGCCAGTGGCTAGCGCTCTTGCATGTTGATGTCCTGACTAGCTTAGTATTCGCTTATATAATGTTAACTAGTACACGTACGTTTGCCCTCTCATCCGTAACATTACATTACAGCACATGACAATAGGTGAATAATATGGAGGACTTGAAGAAGATGAATTATAACAAGTGTGGGAGGTTGGGGAAAGAACATTTGACGTAGACATCTAAGACAATCGACCAACTTCGAGTGGTTTGCACCTAATGATGATTCTAGATGATGTTAAGTTGATGATAATATGATAGATTAAATGTAACCTAAAGAGCGAGGTCAGTATGCACAGCTTAAATCTACATTGAAATGTTGCCTTAAGATAATTAAACTTAAATCTAGTCAGGTATATTTAAAACTCCCACTACTTTGGCTGGCTACAGAATCAATTCACCCTACGCGCGGGCCAAAATTAAAACTAGATCACTATAAGAGTTCTGTAATAGAGGTTATTTTAGTACGACCTCACAAGACGCGCACACGTGTTGAAAAAAAAAATAGATAAAATGCGTTGTCATTGCTAAGGTAGTACTAAATTTGAGCTAAGTTCGATATCATCGTTAAATATGCCCTGACCTTATACTTCCTGTTGTAATAAGTTTCATTGTGTTTACTATCTCTAGCTTTAACTGACTCAGCACAAGAACGTGAATTACAGCTAATTTATGTGTTTATCAAGAGAAAACAATGCGGTTCTAAAGAATGAACAAGTTCTGGAAATTTCTTGCCGTTGGCAAAACTTTATGGCGCGTTTCAGTTTAAAACGTTTCTTTGTAGAAGAGAGTGCTTACGATATTGTCAGGGATGCGTCATGAGACCTTAACGTAGGAAGTCCGCGTTCTAAGTTTATATTTTTCCCTCACTTCATTGACTTCATTTTTGAAATGATCAGATTCAATGAAGAAATCCTCCATCATTAAGAAAGAAATATGTATCAGCGAAAACGGCCGTTTCGTTCTTAGCCGGTTTTAGTTTCAGTTGCACATAGAAAAAAGTTTCCTATGCCCTCTGTCAACTTCTGTAATTCATTTCGGAATCATCTTAAACTGCAGTTGTCATATGACGTGAATAGTTGATGTTGTCACGAATGGTTTACTAGAGCACTCGGTTCTACCGTGTTGCACATCGCTTCTCCTAGACTTTTCAAAAAGAAATTCAACTCTTCCTAGATTTCAAAGAGACAAAAGGATTGCTGGAGGATTTAGAAGCTTTGAGGCTTTCCTCTCACAAAAATTACAGGCAATGGAAGGCAATCGACGATGATTTGGAACCAGCGAGAAAATTTCGTTAATTCAGGCGTTTACCCCAACAATAAGAAAATGCCCTGATTTACTTTAAGACGAATTTAGCAGTAACTGATACTGTTGCAATCATAAATGCCATAAAACATCGGTTTTGCTTTTTTTATTGAAGAAGAAATTATCGCAACGTACACAGGAAGACTTAAACCCGAGACGAGAGCGGAAAACAGCCTCGGAAATGTCTGTTTTAAGTATTCCGTTGGTCAACCCAGTACTCAGTTTCTTGGTCACGAATCACACAAATATAAATATTCCTTTGTTTCTTGACTGCGTAAATTAAACCAATGGTGACATATTGGTCCAAATCCAAATCCAAACAATTACCTGGTTATTTGTATTTATTCATTTACTTTTTTTTAAAACTAAACATTAGTTTTGTACAATCTTAATTTTATGCCAAGTTCTCTAAGATCCCAATTTCAGTAAATATTCTGAATTATTCTTCTAAGGTTGCGTTTTTTTTCCCACGTTCAAGGGCGAAATCCTGGTTTTCCTTCCTTTTGAAAACTATCATTATAGCTCGTTTTCCAACAACGTGTTGTAGAAAATAGCTTAGCCTCTCCCGTGAAAAAATGAAAAAACTGACGTTAAAAGGATTTTACAATAAAATTCTAGAAGAATTCTTTAAATTTCTTTTTTAAGTAAACTAGCAGCAATTGAATAAAATATTCTAAATACAACAAATGAAAGCGAAAGGTATTCCTAATATGCTTAGTGGAGGGTGACTTAATATGAAAAAATTAAATTTGCTTTATTAAGGGCAGTAACTCAGCGACAATTTCGTTAGACATAAGAGTGACTTAAGTAATGAGCTTTTCGGATCTTTTTTGGTTTTCTTATCCCAATAAAATGTAAGGTGGGTATGTACTGTCTAACCTTAAGGCTATTTAACTGTTAAATTGTGCGTGTTTGAAGACCTAAACGCAAATTTAACAACTGCCGTGTGAAGAGGTTTGGAGAACTGTTAGCAGTGAGGCGAAAAACAAGTGTGGTGTTACATAATACCGAACTGTCTTAGACCTACCTTCCAACCCTGCACTGATAAATAAGTTCCTTTGTCGTTGAAATACGGCACGTTCTTGACAATCCAACTGTAAATGTCTGATAAAGTCATCATATTGTCGTCCGTGGATGTTATGGCCATTGTGATAAGGTCAGAGTATGAAGCCTTACCCCAGGGGTTTACCTGTTGGGAGCGTGGCTTGGCAGCAGGTGCTTGTGCCCCTGACGAGCTCAACAACTCTGAGCTGAGGTTAATCAAGGTATCATCGCGACTGCTGGTGGAGCCTGAAGAAGCTAATGAGCGCGGCGATCCTATGCTTTCGATATCATCTTCTTCACTACACTCATCCTCTTTGTCAGCTGACACTTCTTCTTTTATGGTAAAAAAATTCTGCCTGTTTTGGTTAACTATGCTTTCCCTCGTAACTGCGCTTTGTGGACAAACTAAATTACTATAAAGTTCTCGACACATTCGGTGTTGTTCGTGGGTGGGTACCATCGCGGGATTCCACGGGATCCAGCCGGGACCAACTGCGGGTCTCACTTGCTCTGCTCCACAATTGCAGTGATCGTGTCCACCAACTAGCATGTTTCGTGACTCGTGTACGCCGGAGTTAGCGCTGCCTATCCAAACAGCGTTAACAGCGACTTGATTTTGAAAGGAATATCTCGGATAGTGAATCTGTGTTCTAGGAACATGGCCTCTTTTGAGGGATTTGTTCACAGAATCGGGTACCTGAATAAACATGCTTGCTTCGATCTCAACAGCGACTAGCCTTATGCTCGTTACGGATATGCCGTAGCGCTAAATGTTCCGATCCTTAATATACGTTTACTTTTATTGTCAAGCTATTACCGGAAACACTTATGTCGTCAGTCGATAATTCTCCGACGTTAACCGAGTGTTTGTGACGTCATTCCTAATAGTCCATGGACTGAAAGAATGAAAACGACACGGTTGAATAAACAACAGCCTTACAGAAAAACATCGTTTTTGAGGTGTTTAAAGATATTTAAGTTAATAATTTCATCATAATCCGAAACTTTAAAGGTTTTACTTGCTATAATTAGCATTTCTGTTTTCATTTAGCAAGATTTCAAGTCTTCTTTAGTTCTGTAAAGTAAATGGTAGTAGGACGGGTGTAGTTCTTAGTAACGGCAAGCTCCGGTAAACATTTACAAACATTCATGAGAATTTCTATTTGGGGTTATTATGTAGTGGGAATTTGGTGCGCATAAACAAAACTGGCTGTTTTGAAAGAATTTTCGGGTGTGGGAAATCAGAGATGACAAGCTTCGCTTGTTTAATTTTACATTCACACTTAAATGGTCGTTGAATATCGCACGTTAGAATAAATTCAGAAATATAACGCGTCTTGTGTGACGTGATATCCGCCAACGCAAGTGACGCGTGGACTTCTTTTGTTCTTATAAAAGAATGAATCTAAAGAGAGAGCAATCGAAAGGTTTCAACAAATTATTGGTCCTTGTTCAATAGGCTGTGCAGTGCGTTGGTAAAACCGAAGCGAATTGCCACAAACAAAGGTATAAAAAATATCGTTAACAAGACATTCAATGACCCCGGCGCGGCTTTGGATCATAAGCGATTTATCGGCTTGTTTATGTTTTTGTTATAGTCTTGGGATAAGTTGTCATGGTGGTGTTAAGGATGAAAACGTTTAAATCATAATATTGATAAAAAAGAAAGACCTTTACTCTTCCAATTAAAGGATTTAGTCGGGTTATTTGAGGAAGTCAAATTCGACAACTAAAAAGTGTGTCATTGACTAGTAAAAATATATTTGGTTATGGATGTCAAAAAAAAAAGATCGAAAACAAACGAAAAAATAGCTTAGAACCCTTCGTTAAAACTTCGCTAACTTTGGCAGATTTTTGTATTATTATTTCGGCGTATCCTGATTATAATGGAATAATTTTTTTGTATTAGAGTAGGAAACATTATGCGGTGTGTTGCGGCTAGCCACAGCTTTGAAGTGTAATGTTTGCATGTTATAATATATTCGTTTGTCCGAATACGTGCTCTAAATCTTCACAAAAATTTTCCGTTATGAGTTTTATGAGCTACCAATTTGCTAAAATGAGACACTACAGGATAAACATAGGGGAAAAAGGGGCACAAAGCAAGCCAAAAAAGAGTGGAGAAATGTAAAGGATTGGAAAAGAAAAGACAATTCAACCAGTCAAAAGATATTTTATTCAATGATTTTCACCGATTAAAGTTAAAAAGCAATTCATTTCGCGCAAACTTAACATAATCAATTGAACGGTTACATATAAAGAAAACGATAAAGCCTTAAGTAAGAATCGGACACAACGGAGAAAGAGTTAGGAGCGAAGTAAACACGAAGTCGTGTGAGCAGAAAAAAAATAAGTGGAAGAGGCGGGGCAAGAAGAAGGAGAAGAAAGAACTGATTTTGTTAACTTTAACATGGGCTATAATAACAGTATTATAATCAGATGTGATTCTCAGTCACTAGTAGTAACAATAATTTATATCAAAGTGGGCTGCGTAGTTTTGTTTTAAGCCTTGCCTTTTTTTCTTTCAAATAACTATCATCAAGGAAATGATGTTCATTTGTCGACAGTGGCATGGTTTTTTACTATTTCATTAAATCTAATAATTTGTTTGAAAAGTTTTCTACTACATTATTTCTCTAATTTTGATTTGAGTTGGCTGGGCTAGAAGTTTTATTTAATGTGAAAAGTTAAGAAATGCCTAAGAAAAAAACATTCCTGTATTGAAATTTTAAAATAGCTATGATGACAATAGTGTTAAAAATTCAGGCAAGTGTGGGGACTCAGAATATTGGTGCAAACACGGAAGGCAATGGCAACATAATCATGTCTAAATATGTTATCGCCTGATATCTGATGATGTTCGCGATCGCGTTACATGTAACATTTATAGTTTTTCCAAGATATTAGATACAGTTAGTTTGAATTGGCTATGTGGTGTGATCACTGTGCCTACGAATCACGTAGGCGTTGGTGATCAGTTCTATGTTATAGGTTTAGCAAGTGAACAAGGAGAAAAGAAGATGTTCGTCGACTTTAATCTCCGTTTGCGTGAGAGTTGATAACCTCACTGATGAATTTGAGATCACTTCCGTTTCTTTGAGATATTTTGCTCCTAGCTATATTGATCATTTATCATGTAATTCCGCTATTGTGAAATCTTCATTGACATACGGATTGTACAAGACAAATGGTTGACTGAGTTTCTAATATTCACAGCAATAGGGCTAAACAATTCATTAACCAGACCCAGTACATGAGAACACCTCGGCTTGTCCTATAAAATAAATCAAAGCTGCACGTTGCACTGTCTAAAACTCCCAAATAATACATGTTACACTAACTTTAAGTTTCGTTCCTGAACCTTACAGAATCTCATACCGCCTTAGGTCAAATTTGCAAACTTTGCAATTTAATTGAAACGCAGATCTTTCGAAAACAAAAAGATGGTAACAAAAAACATTTCCTTTCCAAGTGTGTTTCTTTGAAATCTTCCACGAAACTAATCGACTTTGTTTTCTTAGTGATAGCTCATTCCTCTTTGCACTTGCACCACTAGCGAAAAATGTGGTACGTGCCATTCGACCGGATTTCTGGCGCTCGTACCCAAGCAAAATAACTACCGGGATGAATAATACAACCACGTCTATCACCAGTCAGCGTCATTTATTTGCCGAGAAGCCATGAAGAAACGGATGCATTAGGTTAACTAAAAAACAAACTGCTAGGAGACTGTGTTTTTGAGTCGGTATCAACACTAATCGTCGTTGATACGATCATAGAATTTACCCACCCACAAGTGTGTTGTGTTTGTCTAAAAAACACCGTATCCAATGAGACAATTGCTGCTGGTAACTATACTGAAAACGTTTGTTTATTTTCAAATGTCACAGGTTCACACTGGCAGTATTGAACATTCAGTCTGTGTACATGAACATGATCTGAACTATTCATAAAGAACTCAACTGAAAACTCTCATCAGATGCAACTGACTCAGATGTTTCAACATTTAGCTAAACAAATTGTATTTGATCGCCGGTGCATGCCGGGTTTTTAAAATTAGTGTAGCATACACCATATTTTTCATTATAATAATAATCTATTACCAGAAGGACAGCAACGAGTAAAGCCATTTTAATAATTCGGAATTATTCAGGGTCGTGCAGCTAGCGCTTAAATTTTGGAAAAATTTTGTATTTGCAACATTATATCGGTTTACTTAGTAGATCTGTGTTGTTTCAGACACAATAGAGACAGTTTACTCTATGTGTTTGGACGAACATTCTCTTAACCCTCCTTTGAAGTATTCAAGCATAATAGCGTTGTTTCAGTACACAGGTTTCCCCTTTTTTTAGTTTGAACGAGCGCTTCTTCGGGTGAAAGAGTCTATAAGCTACCCCTGCAAAACGTTAGTAAATTTCCTTACTTGTGATTTATTTAGATATGAACTCGAGCAGAACAAAACTTGTGAAACTTCACATTGTTCACTCGACAAACAAACCGCTTAAAAATATGCTAGCAAGCTCATTCTGTTCTCGTATATTCTGTGCGAACAGTTAGTTATTTTTCTGTTAAAAACGCCGAATATTTGAGGACCGAGCTCAGTGGAAAAATCTAAAAGATAACTGACTAAATAAGAATTTTATTTGGACAAATGCATTGACAAATGTATAAAAAACAACAAAACTACATACGGTACCCGAATTAACCAGCAAAATATTTCATTGAGAAGAAATAGGTTTTGATAAAGTACTTCGGCTAAAACAAAAACTGAACCGCAAGCCAAAAACAAAAAGCCACTCGTGCCTCGGAATTAAGGAAGTAATTCCTTGAGAATGTAGTACGTTTTCCATTGTGGAATTGCTAGTCAACTATAGCAGCTGACTGCATGCGATAGCCCAATATAAACACACAGAAATGGTTTAAAGAAAATCCAACGGGCATTAAAAGTTTATTGGGTGTCATGATGCATCTAGTTAAAGGCAACTGAAAAGTTACTTATGAAAATTAAAATTAATTCTCCTGACACGCTCAGAGTCATGCTCTTTCACATTAGTGGCACGGCACTTCGCTGCAGTAAGTTCGAAAAAAAAATTCTATGATATAAAGTTAAATTACATTGTTTCAGAGGAATTTTTAGCAGCCTTTTATGGTCTTTTAATAGGTTGTAATACGTGTCCTAAACATTTTTAATAGATTTTGTTTTACAGCATGAAGTAAACATCACTTGTTGTGGCCAACCACAGCATTGACTGGTATTGGTTGCACCGAACCTGTTGACTTAATACGTGCTCTATTTACACACAAACGTTTTCCGCTATCAGCAGTACAATGTTTTTGTTGGTACTAACAATTTGTTTGAATAAACGTAACCCGCTATGAACAACATAAAGTGCGGAACAGGAAACAAAAAACGTAATAAAACACCGAATAAGAAGTATAGGTTTGCGATGGAAACTGATAGCTCGAAACAGTAGCTCGATGCGTAGGACATTTATCAGATGATTCTACCGATAATTTTCGCACAAAGACTCTTTTTGCGAAAATTATCGGTGGAATCATCCAATAAATGGTAAGTAACAACACAGTTACTTGCAGTTAAACGAAAGGAGGGCAATTCAAGAAGGAGAGCTGTTATTTTAATAACTCCTTTCAGTCTTTAAAAGACTTATCTAAGGAAATCTAAATTTCAACAACAATTAAGGCGAGTCATCAATAGACAATAATACAGCCATTTTAATTAGCTTTTGTCGGATCGGAAAGGATTGGATAGTAACATATACGACCAAAAAATGGGTGCCAAAGATTATTTGAACTTGCTCGCAAGTCAGTTCGCAGAGGAAATAGACTGTAAGACTGAGGTCACTTTCTTCCACATGGATCCCGGCTTTTTTTATTTAACAGTTGCAAACTTGATTGTTTTAAGAAGCGCGTAAATAGATTTCTCATTTACCGTACTGCTTTATTGTTTTTGTATTTTCTATTAAACTGACTTTCTATTATATTTGCATAATTATGTACCACTTTCTGCACGTGCTAACATACTGCTGATTCAACTACATCATCATGTTTTGTTTTTCGTTTTAAGTAAGTTGTGCCCACAAGAGCGGGCGAATATCTCTCCCACTCTCTTAAATAAAACTTGCTCTTGGTTCTTGAAGACACTCTGACGCCGCTCTCTCTTCTCCTACTTCAAACCTTAAATGAACCTTTTCATACACACGATCCGGCCATGGGTGGTCTTCCTTGTTTCTAACGTCAGTTTATAACAACAACATCACTTAAAATAGACGTATCTTGATTATGGTCATCTCGCTAGATGAAAATAGAAAAAGAAAACAAAGTCTTCATAAAATTTGGCAATTACTTGTTTTCTTGCGTGGCCTGATCCTAGCTGATCCTAATAAATAGATAACAATTACTATTATTATTAATTATCATTACTTTTATTAGGATGCGGCGGCTTACCACAGTTTTAAAAACTATTGGTTACTTCTATAACATTTTAACTGAGTACGTGCGAGTGTAGACGTATCAGTAAAATTGGAAGGAACACAAACAGGCAAACTGATTAAAATAATATGGTACATACGATTGCATGTTTCCTCAGTAATATTCGGGCAAAGTATTATTAATATGAAGCAGTACAGACAGAGTAAGCCAATTAAGAAGAGGAACTAGAGAAGAAGAAGAAGAAGAAGAAGAAGAAGAAGAAGAAGAAGAAGAAGAAGAAGAAGAAGAAGAAGAAGAAGAAGAAGAAGAAGAAGAAGCAACAGTAGAAGAAGCAACAGATTTTTGGATAACTGTGTTTAGTTAGAAAGACATTTTCTTCGTTAGAGCAAAATGTCGTATTTTCTAACTCAATGTAATTTACGTAATATAAAGGGTATGTCTACACGTGTATCGGAGGCTCTGCATGATACATTTTAATCTAAAGAAAACTTTCCCCTGGTTCCAACTCTAAGACGCTCATGATGCATCTTTGACTCACTTCTCTATTCTCTGAAGTGCAAATTCCGTCCCGTCCTTAAATAAGCCCTTCCCCCTCTCCCTCCCGAATAAAAGAGCCCCTCCGAATACTAGCCACGGGGTTTCTCTCAGAATTTTACGGTGTGCAACTGAGTTATTCGTCTTCGCCGGTTGACGAGGTCTGATCATAATGAATCACTGGCGATTTTTATTTTGACATACAGTTGTAAAAAGTGCTAGCTAAGTGAGGCCAGGTACAACTGTAAAATGTTATAGGTGCTTTTCTGACCAAAAGTTAACCGCCCAGTTTATTGGTTTTTGTGGATGTTATTTGTTAGACCAATTAACGGAGAAAAGGGAAAAAACGCAAAGCCGAAAAAATGTACAGCATTTGAAGGGAAATTAAGATCAATAAAACGGCACGCAAATATAATTTGAGAATTGAATCTTCAAAATGTTTTGGTAGGGCAAAGTAAACATTTTGACAGATCATCGACACTTCGGATCAATGACAAAGGTAAGATACGAAATAAGACACAGAGATAGCTGAAGAAGACGAAGAGGAAGAAGTTTAATAACTACAATTTCGTTTAGTAACTATAACTCATAGCTGGGTTATCTCATTGCTAATTTTGATTGCGTAATCGATCAGGAGAGAGAACTTTCACCTCTCGTGACTTGTGAAAAGTTCAAATCTACTTAATCACATGACACAGAACACATAAATGTATAGTTAAAAGGGCGATTATAAGTATTTTCCCGGACATGCCTCTTTCTTATAAACCAATTACCAAAAAGGAAAAGATTTTTTATCCCAACTTCATTTTGATTTTCTGTAAGTTATTTCATTACATTAGGGGTACTGGGCCTGACTTTTTCTTGAACGTAAATCTGAAAAAGTGGATCGATTGTAATTATATTTGTGCAAAAGAATTAAAGTTTCTATGGATCTACAAAGTAAAGAAATACAGTGTTGAATGTAAACACGTGAAAATGGTTAAATCTAAACAGGGCTAAAATGGCAAAAGCAATATATAACAAAATGCAATAACCGTTCAAAATATAAACAATTCACCAAAATCATGTCTAAAAGTGCAATACCGTCATATAGTTCGGTCGTTTTTCAATTTTTGTTTGCGTGATTGTTGAAAGCTTCTCTTGTGTTTCGTTGAGATCACTTCCGTTTCTTTCAAATGTTTCTTCTTCGCGGCCTTCCGTAATGCAATTCCGCTATTGTGAAATCTTTGGTGACCTACAGGTAGTCAAATCCCAAGGTTGACTGGGTTTTTAAGAGGTCCAAAGTATATTTCACGCATTGCAGTGTGACGATATTCAAGACAAAAAAGATGATTTAGGTTGGTCCCAATAATTTATTAGTACAAAAGAAATGAAATTACGCCTTGGGTTCTGAGATAAGTACAATTAGTCAGCCTTTTTATCTTGACGGTTTGAAAAGACAAATTGCCTTGACTAAACTAACAGGTTCCACCTCAATTCACTCAACCTTGTCAAATGTCACTCGATTATAAAATGCGCATTTTGTTCCAATTTTTCCAATTTTAGTCATACTGGTGCATTTTCTAAAAAATGTTGTCGATAAGTGTTTCTTATTCAAACACTGGAATAGATGCAAGGGCTTTAGTATGTCCTTTGATTATCAAATAGTTTTTTTTGTTTCTTTTTGTATTTTTCACACAAGTTTTTGCCTCACAGACAAATTCTTTTTCAAGCCAATTTTCTGCATTTTTACACATTTGCACGCTCATTTTATGCCGTGCACTAGAATGGAATATCATAAGACCAACTGCCCAGTGTTACCGAGTATACTGTGAGGTCCGATCTCATGAAGAAAAGGATGGATTGTCTTTTGTATCAAAAGTTGAAAGAATTTATTCCGGATAAATATGCTCTGAAATTATCCACATTTGTTTTTGTATAATCTACAGTAGGTTCTGTAATAACTGTATATGGAAAATATTAGTATCGGCAAATATTTATGAATTTTGCCACTGTTTACAAGAATTTCTTATGCCAGCGAACTCTCGTCTGTCTTACAAAATATGTTTTTTTAATAAGTCTGTTCAAAATCCTTTTCTCAATCACATCTGCATGCATTTATTCAGCCAACAAAGAGAACGTTAACTTCTGCTTTTACTTTTGAAAGCTATAGTCATCCCTTGTTATCAACTGACAACCCAAAGTGATTCAAATGTACCAAACGTCTCAGAGAGAATTCATCTGATGTCCTTACACTTTGATTTACCCAATTACACATCTAGTAGTCGGTACTGTATGAGGTAAACATAAATTGATAATTTGCAAAAATATTGTTCAGAAACATTTGTTGGACCGTCAAAAGATTATCTAACTAAAGTGATTTTTTACTTCATAAAATTTAAAGCAACTAATTCTGTTACTCGAAACTAAGTCAGGGGAATATATTCGTATAAAATTTGCAACACTTTTGTTATCTTACAACTGCTGCTACTGTTTTAATCGATATCGACTTCTGTCACTTGTAGATTCTTCTAAATTTTGTTATTCTTGTTCGTAGATTTAAGGTTTGTATGTATACTGATTGTAAAGCTACAGTAGTACTAGGCTTTACTGTCATTAAAGTTCATATATATTTATCTGCTGAATTAAGAGAAATTTTGCGTTTTTGTTTCTCTGGGAAGCTGTCCCTTGACAGCCTTTCTAAGGTACAAACGTGCTAAACAACTTGTTTGCAATTGCGAGAGAACGATGGGAGGTTTTCTGAGTTATATTCATTTCTCAGTTAAGTTGCCTATATCTTTTCATACAGTATTCATCTCAACCTACGCTTTAGCAGTAAGAATGCCATTTCATGCCCTTGAACTACATATACTCAGCGAGTAAGAAACAGCCAATTTCTCTAGTATTTATCTGTTTTCTTGTGAGAATTTTATTGGAAATTCTTACTGAATGAGGCAGATCCCTTAAAAATCGGTTGTTGAAAGGACATTTGACAAGAAAACTGGAAACTTATTAAAATTATTACAATTCAATTAAATTGTAAAACAAGCATGCAACATAAAGTTAACAATGTAATGGCTTTCGAAGGGAGTCTATTATATTGCTTCAATCTACTTCCAGCATTTCTGCTTTTCTGTAGACTACTCGTCACTTTTGATATGAAAAGCTTGTCACTGAGTTTATTCCTGAAATATTATTAACTCAAAAGTGATGACAGCAGTAAAGTAAATTTAAGTTTATCTCAACTCGTTAGATGAGCTCTCAACAAAGTCTTCGACCATACTGGTCTTGCGTTCATGAAACACTTGAATGAGGCTGGTCTCGAGTAAATTTGCGGACGTATTCCGGTATTATTTCCTAAAATCCTAAAAAAAGGAAGTGTCAGTTGTTTATGTTTCATCCTTCGCACGATCGTTTTGTAGCAGACAACAAAAAACTACCGGATTATTTTACTGCTGGTATCAGACAATGCGTCATGATATCTGTGAAAATATCACTTTGTTCTAATAATTGGCCTGTAGACATTTTTCCCAACAAATTGATTCCAATTCATAACAACCGGCAGGAAGGCTTATGAGGATCAGATCTCCCAAATCCGATCAACAAACAAACATATGTTATGGCAAAATGATCTATTTTGTTGTTGTTGTGGATGGTAACCGAGCTGATCGCCATTTTGAAAGATACAAATTCCTCCTTTCGGTAATTGTTTTACGCGAGAGATTTCTTAGTTCGCAACAAACAGTTCTCTTATTGATTTTGAAGTTAATCTTTTTATTTCTACCGAGAATAAAAAAAATCCGCAGAGGGGAAGCTGATAAGAACAATCAAGAAACTGAAGACAGTGGTGACTTTAAAGTGCATGGCCGAACAAAAACTTTGCCAGAGACTCCGCTTTTTTTCAAAAAGTCTTCTTCGTTTTAGTGACCTTCATTTTAACCTTTCTGTCATAATTAAAGTGTAACTTGCACTCATTTATAGTCGAAGGTTTGCGGAGTAATTTGTGGTGTGATCGCGTGAGGGATAAGACTACATTTATTGTTGTGTGGCCATATCTGAAAAAGAAGTCACCGAAGAATGTTGCTTGAAAGTTAAACATTTGTGTCGAAGTAGGGTGGGTTGTCTGGTGGTGGGCTGTCTCCGTTTGGCGCTTTCCTTTAACACGAAGTAAACCTTAAGTACTTAATGTACTTAATGTATCTTTCAGTTTCATCGCAGTGGATGGTCGGTTAGTTCGAAGAATGTTCATAAACGTAAAGCAAAGTTTAAGCAACATTTTTTAGGTAACGTCATGAATTTTGTCAGGAGAGAAAAAAAGGACAGGTTTTATTAAAAAAGAAACATCCTGATTTTGGAGGATAGAAGTATTGCTTATTCTTCTTATTATAAACTATGATTCATTTACTAAAACAAGATCTAATGTGGTCATCAATACAACCAGAAAAGCGTAAAATTAATTATAATTAGAGCTTGCGAAACAATCCGCCCTCAGCGGAAGCAATTAACGAATATTACATTGTCACGCGATCCGAACGTAATGGGCGTGACGTCATTAGTGGACTTCGTAACAACTAATTAATGTTTCGGGTGTCACGGGATAGGGATAATAATCTTACATCAATTCTTATTGAGTTGAATTTCTGTGTATAAAGTCTCTTGAAATAAAAGCCTGATTATTGAAAGCTACTGATAAGAAAGGCAGTTATATTGAAGTCCTTGGACTGTTTGAATGCATATGAAGACTGTAAATTGTGCTTTGAAATGAGAATATCAACTTAACAGGTAAAGTTGCAGTTAGACTTGATGATTTTTTTAAACTCTTGTGTTCCAGATCAAAAACAATAGAATAACATCCATAATAAGAACAATATAAATGATCGTGGAAGACAAATTAGTACGCTGAGTCAAAACCTGAAAAAATAATACTATTAGAGTAAACAGAATGGTGCAAAAGCACTGTTGTATCTGTCCCTGCTTTCTTTGACTGATACGATTTTCTGGGAACCTCTGTCACAGAATACAGTATTCCTTGGTTTTTTCACCTAAGGATTTAATCTAACATTTTGACCTTGCTTTAGTATTGAAAATGACCGTGCCACGCCACGCGGCCTTTTGGCACCCCAAATTTGTTTATCAAGGTCATTTTTCACAGAGTCCACGAACTAGACATTTAATTTTTCATTGCCCATTACGTTGCTGTGTACTAATTTTTAATCGACACGTGCCGAACTACTAGTAGAACAGTTAACAAACTTAGTGAAGCAGTGCTGTAAGTAATGACGTCTGAAATTATCGTTTTCTTGGTTGATTATTGTTATGCATGCAGTTGTTAATGAGTAAGAACGTTTTTTTAGTAGTTATCTTTAACAAAAATATACTATTACTGACTCAAGTCCACAAATGGTTACTGACAATACTGCCGGAGTAAGTGAATTGAAGTAGTAAGTATACTGTTAATCGATAGTCACTCTAATTTGGTTTTGATTCCGCCGTAGTCATTTTATAAACTGGAATTAGCCCCTTGTAAGGAAAAAGAAAGGCTAGTTCTTAAAAGAGCTTCTTCGCAGTCTACATCGGTTAAGTACTATTAAAAACGAAATATTTCAAGTTTGTCTTTTGCAGTTAATGTTAATCTAGATTATTTATTCCATCAGAAACATACTGAAGTAAACTCGTATACCGGTTTCAGTTTCTTCTTGGCACCAGCCGCACTCTGATTTATAAATATATATACCTGCTTTCAGCTTTCCACCGAACCTACATTGCATCGCCGGCTATGTTTAATACTATTATTGTATCTTTTACTCGATGTATCTTGTTATTTATCCTGAATTGTAAGTTCAATAAAGTTGAAGTTAAATTTACGTCTTTATTTATCTGCATTACACCAAATTTATATCAAATTTTCGTTCAATGCAAGAAAACTAATGACTCAAAATAATGACTCAAAATTTCGTCACAGACTTTCATCAAAAATTGAACGATATATTCACACTTTAGAATTGGTTAAAGACTTAACACTGCGCTTAAAAACCGGTGAATTTGCTGAAAATCATTGTATATAACTCAACAAGCAAAACTGTGATGTCCTTTCTAGGCTAAATTCTCCGCTGGTTGAGAGGAATTTTAAACGAGTGACTTAGGGTGGGTTTCCACTGTCGTGTAATTTTTACGTCGGACGCGCGTAAATGGAATAGGGGCAATAATGTATGATAGGTGGCGCGCAAACGTGAAAGTTAAACCTCGCTCAACTTTAACGTTTACGAGCGACACTTCATTCATTACTTCCATTTTATTTACGCTCGTGCGCACGTAAAAAATTACGCGGCAGTGGAAATCCACCCTTAGACCAGCAGAAAATTAAAGGGTGAAAAGTAGTTGTTAACTCAACACATTTCGGAAGGTTTGATATGCTTTTTTCCCATTTTGCGCAAAATCTACTCTAGGTATATATATACGAATAAAATATTTTGTGCACCAAAATGGTGACTGGATAAAGCCGTTACTATATTCAGACTACTATTTAAGCTTAGTTTTTAGCCTCCTCATGACAAAGCTAATGTCATTTAAAGTAAAGGTGTTAAAAAAGACTTGATTTTTTATTTTTTTTTTTTTTCTTTTCGGATTTTTGACCGTACCTTAATATTTAGAGAATTCAAAGTATCAAACTGCATTGTCACGCAAACAGTATCACAGACGTCAGAATTGTGGGTGAGGCCCATTGACGTCACGGGCTAATTGTTTACCGGCACTTTCAAATTCAGCAGGTTGCTAGTTTAAAATATGAATTGTTTCGCTTCAAATAACCAAGTTTATGTTTACTTAAAACACCAATGGTTTGGTATTTACCAAAGCACGTCTTTTTGACTGCATTCGTGCATTGGGGTAAGCAGCCATTAGATGCTATCCCTGCCATCTTGAATACTATAGACAAGTACTGAACTTTTTGAAGGCTTGTTTTTGTAAAAAATAAATAAATAAATTTTATAAGATTCATCAATATTGTTACTGTTTCTCCCAAGGTATCAGATATTTTTGTCTTGAATCAGCGCAGGCCATGTGAAAACCCCTTTGTAAGTTAACACAGTCCTCAACCGGCTTTTGTCGTTTACACTGAGAAAATCATAAGATGAGATTATTATTATAACGATCATCATAATAATTACTATGATTTTGATTATTCTTACCTCTATGTACAGCTTGAGGACCAAGTTTCTGGTGACGCTCACGCCTGTACTGTAATGATTTCCGAAGACGTCGGCCCGGCACACTCGACAAAAGAAGAACTCAGTTTAAAATTAAATACTTTGCTGACGTTGACAGGATATGATAACTAAGCAATGGAGAGCCAAATTAAACTTTGCGGTTAACCTCACGTGTCAAACATCATTTAGCTTTGGTAGTGGATGAGTAAGATCTTACAAAGTTTTGAAAATAGAAATTTTGGAGGATAGGAACAAAATATTGCTACCACAGAAATCGTGCTTTATGCTACGATAAAGTGTCAACTACTTCCCCATTGGACAGTTTCGAGACAGTTTTGATTCGCTTTACTGATCTGCTTTTAGTAAATTGAATGACTGGTAGTTTTTCCCTCCTCTCTTTTAGTGGGATTGGAATATGACTGTTGTAGCTCAATAACTGAAATTTCTTTCATTGCAAGCAGTTTATGTTATTAGAGTATCCCAACTTGGTTTTAATATTTTGTTCTTGGTCCATTCTATGTCCATTCAAAATTGATTTGAGAGCTGTTTTCTAAGAGAAGCTGAGGAAGAAACACTTTTTTTTTGTATTCCTTTCCCCTCTTAATGATGAGTCTTCGTGATCTTTTCTGATTTTAATCAAGTCACGTTCTGTTTGCAGTTTAATTTCCGTTATGAATCAACCGTTTCCGTAACTTAAATGAGTTTGATAAAAACCAAAGGGAAACAAACCACAGTGCAGTGTCCGTTTGCTTGATAGAGATCATTTTCCGCAGTGTAATATACCACTATTGCGAAATACTCGTTTTGGGAGTGTCTCTTGTCTTGACAGGATAAGAAGTGAAAAACTTAAAAGTAGTTACGTTACTAAGTCGATAAGTGTCTCTTGAGGGAAATATCGGGGACCCGGCCAGCATTTGCCATATATCGCTTCCCAGCTTGAATTCTTCACATTCCAAAAAGTTAAATAACTTCATTTCTCAGTTTAGCCGTACGCTCTTGTATGTTCAATAATCTTGTCTTTTTTACAAAACTGTTCGGTCATAAATTCTTAAACTGACAGAATACCTTCAGAACAAATACTTTGGCTCTTCGGAAGACAGAAGGGCCTACGATTAGAAAGCGGGATCACTAGCAATATAAACAGAGGTAATATGACTTGATTAGGTGAATTAATGCACTTATTACGATGAAAGAAGCTGATATTCCCTGACATCATTAAATTAAAGCTCTAAACTTTTTTTTAAAGTCGAACACCTCCCTCGCTTTTGCAATGAGCCCTGTACTATATTAGTTCCAGCCTTCTTGCCAAGTTGAAGAGATTTTAGAAGTTTTGGGCAAACGTCAATTCGTACCACATGACCAAGGTTTCCCGTTACATTTACACATCTACACACCAATAGCTACAGTTTCATGTCAGGTCTATTCATGAGACTTACTTCGTACAGTTTTGAGCTGTGTGTTTCCTTATTTGAGAAACTGTCAGCTTTAAATCTGACGTTCGCAGTTGCAGTAAAGTCTCCGTATCAAATGCAATGGCCGGTTTAGAGTGTCTTAGTTTAGTATAATAATTTCCGAACTCGTTACGGTAAGAATGAGATCTAGAGATTTATAATAAATTAGACAAAACAGGTAATTAAGGTTAAAAGAAGCATAGACAGAGTTGGTTTAGGTTGAATAATTGACTGCATCTTTTTATTTTTATTTTTATTATAATTATTTTTACTTTATAATTTTTTTCACATCGCTCAACAGTGGTTATTATAAGTCAACATAACGAACGCATTTTAGTCAACACTGAGCTGTCTACTTCTGTATCACTTGAGCATTGTAAAATTTTCCTGTTATTATTGTTTAATCTGGCTCTTTTTCTAGAATGGAACATCATGATCTCTGGTGTCGTAGCCTTTAAAGTAACAGATCAAATAACGCACAGAAGTGACTCATAACCCTAATCCTAAGGTACTGGAGCTTAACTTTGATTAGTCAGTAAGCCAGTGAGCATGGGTTTTCTTAGAGAAATACATTGCTTAAAGGCCTCACAAAAAAAATCAGGTATCTAAGCTACTACAAACAGTACCACGACGTACTTACTCATTTTGTTTCAACGAAATATAACTTTGATCATTATTCACCGGCTCCATCCATTGCAGTTCATTCAACGTTTACTAGGTGCCTCTGCTCCATATTTCTTATAGAGTGAGGAGCAGTGCAGCTAAATACTATGATTATTGGCCGATCTATGCTTAAAAAATCTTTTATGATGTTGTTTTAGACATGAAGAAAGGGGAAATAATTACTGGCAGAGAATAAATCATCTCATGAGAGTTTTTTCTAAACAAAAAGCTTCAACTCTACGGTTTATAAGCATGTTGTTTAATTAGTGATAGGTCCAGATTGTGGGAAAGTATTTTCAAACAAAAAAACCTTTTATTATAGCAACTTGTGTTTTACTATTATTTAAAAAAGACACAAATTTCAACACATATTTTTGAGTGATTAAACTATATATTCACGGAAGCGTCAGTAAATTCGTTCTTGAGCGCGTGATATGCTAAAAATAAAAGCTTCTGTCTGTAGTTTTATTAACACCACAAATCCTTAAACCAACATTGGTTTGCCGGAGATATCCATGTTAATAGCTAGACAAGAATAGTGACGCTAAGAGAACAACCTACAATAGCACTGGCTTAAACTATGGTTAAAATGTGGTAGGAGGATGACGTTCGGTGGTTCGTTGTCAACAAAAATATTTCCGTCAAAGTCTGTTGATAAGCTATCATGTTTTTTTTTGGTCTGTGTAACTGCCGGTTAGCCTATACTAGACCGTAGAGCAATAATCNGTTTTCTTAGAGAAATACATTGCTTAAAGGCCTCACAAAAAAAATCAGGTATCTAAGCTACTACAAACAGTACCACGACGTACTTACTCATTTTGTTTCAACGAAATATAACTTTGATCATTATTCACCGGCTCCATCCATTGCAGTTCATTCAACGTTTACTAGGTGCCTCTGCTCCATATTTCTTATAGAGTGAGGAGCAGTGCAGCTAAATACTATGATTATTGGCCGATCTATGCTTAAAAAATCTTTTATGATGTTGTTTTAGACATGAAGAAAGGGGAAATAATTACTGGCAGAGAATAAATCATCTCATGAGAGTTTTTTCTAAACAAAAAGCTTCAACTCTACGGTTTATAAGCATGTTGTTTAATTAGTGATAGGTCCAGATTGTGGGAAAGTATTTTCAAACAAAAAAACCTTTTATTATAGCAACTTGTGTTTTACTATTATTTAAAAAAGACACAAATTTCAACACATATTTTTGAGTGATTAAACTATATATTCACGGAAGCGTCAGTAAATTCGTTCTTGAGCGCGTGATATGCTAAAAATAAAAGCTTCTGTCTGTAGTTTTATTAACACCACAAATCCTTAAACCAACATTGGTTTGCCGGAGATATCCATGTTAATAGCTAGACAAGAATAGTGACGCTAAGAGAACAACCTACAATAGCACTGGCTTAAACTATGGTTAAAATGTGGTAGGAGGATGACGTTCGGTGGTTCGTTGTCAACAAAAATATTTCCGTCAAAGTCTGTTGATAAGCTATCATGTTTTTTTTTGGTCTGTGTAACTGCCGGTTAGCCTATACTAGACCGTAGAGCAATAATCAGCAAAAATGATGAAGCTATTTAATGGTGAAAATTCAGTAGCAAAAGCAAGGAAGTTCAGAGAGAATTTTATTATAGTGTATAGTCATCCATGCATAGTTTCGATAGAAATCGATATCGGAAATTAATCGATGTAATCCGCCGATTGTTATCGATTGATATCGGAAATCGAAGTCACGGTAAAAATAATTTTTCGATTATTATCGATTAGCAAAGCGATAAAAATCGATAGTAATCGATAGTATTCGATAACAAGCAACAACATAACGATGATTCTGTTTACTTAACGATTTATTCTTACGATTCTTTTTTAATGCGACTCATTGAAATCACAAGAACACTTATTTGGTTGTTTATTATGCTCCATCAGTTGTGGACTTGCTGAGCGTTGCCCACTCGGCCACTTTCGCAACAAGTTTTGAATTCCTTCCTTATTATAAACTGCACTTAACCTTAAAATCAAAGTAAAGAGCAATTTGTTTCTGTTAGTGTTTATTCATTAAAAGAGGTGCATAAAAATTATCGCGACTGAATAACTCAATAATACGTAACCGTAAAGAAAGCATCTTGTAAATGTTGAACTTAAGCCTTTTCCGATAATAATCGATAGTAATCCATAGCAATCGATAAATCAATCATTACCTATTTTCTATCGGAAATAGTTCAATCCAAGTCAAAACTTTTTTTAAAAGCGAATTTTAACAGAAGAAGAAGGAGTACAGTTAGTTCCTTAGCAAGTATGGCTCCATTACCAGCCAATGTTCAGAGACGTTCCGCGCTCTCCTTGCCAGAACTCGGAAGGATCGAAATGTATGTACTCGAGAAAATGGTGTTTAGACTGTAAACGGTGTGAGTGTGTTAATAAACACCTTTTTCTCCAACCAGTGGCGTATTGTTATGATTTTTTCTTAATTTTCCAATCATCATATGATCTGTGTTGTTTCTAGCTAGGATTATTCAACACTTCAAGCAGAGATATCAAGGAGATCATTGTTTAAGTAACCTAAGTCGATAAATGGTGAAGGAAAGTCTCGACCGTGTTATCGTGGCAAGTTATTTTCTAAGTAAGAGGCCACCGTTGATCGTACTCTAGGATAGGAATTAACATTGTACCAAATCTGAATTGAATCTAAAACAACCAGATGGATATTAAAGATTTTATGACAGAGGAAGATTGGGAAGAGTAGAAATAGTAAACCTCGGGGTTGGAGCGGCCCCATTTCCTCCTCTCTGCGGAAGTTTTAAAATGGCGCTTTTCCGAGCAAAAACATTGGCGCGCCCAAAGAAAACGCCTGCACTGCAGGCTAATGACAACCAGATTTCTTTATAGGAAACTTACCCAATAAGAGCCAAGCAGACAAGAAATTCCTACTGGTAATTCCATAATTTACCCTTATCCCGGAATAGCGATAAGTCGGGCGCGCCCTTAATGCATAGTTCCTACTATATACAACTAGTTACTTGTGTTTTCCCAAAAGTCTCGACCGGCAGTCAGTTTCTTAAGGGAAGTTCGAGGAAACAAGGAGACCGACAGGAAAACAAAACTCACCGAAAAACTAGACATAATTAAAAGTGATTTGTTACCAACATCCACAGGAAAAGCAAAGAACCGTTTAACATCAAATGAATAAAGGGATTCAGTTTAGAAGTTTTAATGTGGACTGCCATGAAAATTTAAATTTATAGTTTGGGTTGTTCAAAATAGGGTTACCGTCGTTGAGTTGAGTCGTTGAGTTTTAGTGCGAAATATGAATTTAGAAATGAAAGCTTAAAAAGCAAATTCGGTTTAATTTCTTATGTCTACAGTAATTTGATGATTGGATGCCCTAAAACGGACAGAGAAAATAATCCGAGAAAATGATTTTGAACAAAAGAAAAAAAACCCTGGATTAGAATTTAATCTCGGGTTAGCGCTAATCGGCCTTTGAACAACATGCAGGGCCATGAACATATGAGTGAGTTGATTAATCTCGAGTGGTAGCCCTTCGTCAGCGCAACACAACACTATTCAACACTATAACGAAGCCATCCTTGAGTGAAAATATATATATCGACAAAGCTGAAATGAAAGGAAAAGCGAACATCAATTCTGTTTAGAGTGGTTTTCGTTTGAGTGTCGTAAAACCAAAACCAAAGTAATTACTCTGGCCAATCACATAGGACACAGACAATACATTGAACCAATCAAAACTCGAAGTAATTACATGTGACTGACGCAAAGCGCGGGAAAATGCATGCGAGCGCGTCACAATTGGCTTTGGTTTTACTTCTGATTAGATGAAAAGGTGGCGCGAATCTTTTAAGCCAATCGCATCGTGTAGAAAGTGCAAAACCAATTACTTTTCGACACTTAAATGAAAACCGCTCTACTATCTATTTTGTTTTCGGAATTCCACCAGGGAAACGCTGAAATTCTGCCTCGGGCTGAAAGGCATTTCGAGAATGAGTGCTTTCTTTCGATCAAGAGCCACGAATGCGGACAAGTTAAGGAACAAGCCCCTCGAAATTCCTGGCTTTAAAAAATGGCTTGAATATAAGGGAACTGAACAATGTTTTTGAAGTATAAACAGGAGATTGCATAATCTGCACACTTAAGTGACGTCAACAAAGGGTGTGGTCCGTGAAGATGCAATATTGAAATTGTTTATAATTTAATTGCCTATCATGACAAGCGTATCATTTTAACCTTTTATCATTCTAACATCAGCGTGTATATTGTATTGTCTGCTGATCCACTAATTATTCTATTTCTGTCAGACGTCGTGTTGATAATTGCTTATTCCGCCCAAACGATCCACGTGTCTCTAAGAAAGGATAGCTGCTATCTGGTGATACGAGTGCAATTAGTGCAGCTTGCCAACTAAGTATCTATTTTACGATTTAATTTCTCCATGAAATATTTGTACTCTAGGCTTCAAAATTACGTAAAATACCATGTGAAAAGTATTGATCAGGTGACACCACATTGTCAATCAGTCCCGGTCCACCACGCTAGTGGTCAGTCAATCGCCCGAAGGGCAATGTACCAGTGTGCAAAGAAATATCGAGTATTGTTATATTCCTAGACCTTATCTCAACTAAACAGGGACTGCCATTGGTTGATTCTTGGTCATGTGGCCTGGACTAAAATCAAATCTATCCCAATAGTGATACATCAAGCAATATACCCCGCTCGGGCTTCATTACAGCACGTGATCAAAGCATGGTGGAAAGTGATGTGACAGAAGGCGGGAAAAACACTGTCAGTTTTCTTTTCCGTGAATGAACACAACAACACAAACACGAAGCCTCAAGCGAAAAAGCAACGATTTTTAAAGTTATCCCACTAGAGAAACAGCAGCTAGTGGAGGGAAAAGATGCAGGTAGTATAAGGAAAATCTGGAAAGTACTTTGTAAATCATTCATTCAGTGGTTTAAGAATTAAATTTGTGTCGTCCTCCGAGTCGACTGTTTTGGTTCGCTCCGGTTATTCTTTTGTTGCTGCCGAACCCTTGGGATCTGACATTAAGTGCGTGTATATTGTAAGATCTTGATATAATAAAACAGAATTTCAAAACCTATCAGAAAAACTAAGCCAGTAAAGAAAAGGTCCTGTCCATAGATTATAGGTTTAATTTATAAAGAGCTTAAATTCGTAGAAGTTTTCAAAGAAAGGAAGGCTTAAAAATCTCAATGCAATTGAACACTCACAGAAAAATGTTGATCATATATTCAAAGGTCCGCAAATAGCAAGTTTACATGGTGTGACTATATAATAGTAATTACAACGCACTACATTTCTTTTCTCCTGTTTATTATGCTGAACAAGGTAATTCTGACTTTTAATTTAAGTGTGTTGATGAAATTCTGAATTCTAATGACCATATGGTGTAATACTTTGTCCGAACTTTGAGGGGTACTATACCGTATGATGTCTTTAACACGAGGCGCCGCCGGACGTACAAACATTTAAAGCAAAAGTAGGGGATACTTTTCTCACGAGATCCTTTCACTTATTTTGACCTTTCCAGTCAGTACCCAAACGTTTGACAAATACAGGATTCATTTAGCACTTCCTGCTTCCATGTCACGTTCGGGACTTGTTTTTCAAATTTTTGTACAAGGCTCAGTGATAGGGTTCAATGCGTTAGAAAACCGTATTAGCAAGTATACCCAGCATAATACCGCTGCCAGCAGCAAAATGACACAAGCAGCTTGGTTAATCAGTTTCCGAGTTAATGCCACATCCTGCAATTTCCGTAATGCGTTTCCGTTGCTGGAAGTATGAATTAAATTAATTAAGCTTTTAAACATTTATGAAACCACTGTAAATCCTTGAATTTAAAGTGCTGGGTTGGATTATTTCAAATTTTTAATTATAACCTTTGGCGTACTTTAAAACAACTCCGCCTTAAATAAAAGCTAATAAACAGTCCATCGAGCCAATTCTTAGATCATATTGTCGGTTAGGGCTCAGAGAACAGTTCCTCCAATTTCAGCGTGTCAAACTAGGGGGCTTAGATTTTAGCCTTCCATTGCATTTAGTTTCTCATACATTGTCTTGTTTTGGGTTTTGAATGACATGGAAGTGTCTCTCAGTACAAGCTAGACAAGATTTTATGTTCTCCGTTGTTAAATGGCTTGAAGTTTACTTGGAACTTGATCGCAGTTTTGCATCTTTTGACAAACTAGGCTCAGGAGCCTATTTCTCGGAAGTTCCCATAATTACCGGGCGCAGAACTCTTTTTTTGGTTTGCATTCAAGACTGAGCTTTCAATGGTTCTGGACTGAGTAGGGATTAGAAACCGGGCTACCATTCTTTAGATTTTGATTTTCAAATATGGCTTCCGGACCGTAAAGTCAACCGGGATTTTCGAGAAACGGGCCCCAGCGGAACATTTGTACATTAATGAATCCCTAACCCAGTATCGCGGTGAACTCTTTGGAAGAGTAAACAAATTCAAGAAGGAAAACAAGTACAAATTCCTATGGACGAATAATGGTAAGATCTATCTACGTAAACATGAAACCTCACAGACATTTACATTTACAACATTTCAAGAATTCGGAGACTTCATTGCTCCATCACAATGAAACTTTCAAACCTGGTTAGTCCTCCTTGTAAACAACTTAGTAGTTATTAAATAATGGCTTCTTCAAATGTTTGGATACCCACATTTAATGATTTAGATGAAAGAGAATTTAGATTTGTACTCGGTTCTGGTAATGTCAATGACTTCATCAACTCTGGTGTTGATTTGTACAAAATTCCTCCAAATCCTGACAAGTTCGATGAATCTGACCCTGATTTAATGTTGTCAACTCCTAGCTCTGAGTACTATTCCATAGCTGATGCTAATAACCTTTTAGCTGATATAGATAACGATTCCATTTTTCTCTTTCATTGTAATATTAGAAGTATACCAAAAAACTTCGAGCTCTTATACGACCTTTTATGTTGCTTTGATAATATACCTGATGTAATTGCTGTAACTGAAACTAGAATTAATTGTAACTCATCAGCAAACATAGATTTTCCTAACTACAAATTTTACAGTACTGATTCTAAAACAACGGCTGGTGGTGTTGGTATTTACATCTCATCCTCCCTAAATGCAATTCATAGGTCAGATTTAAGCTTTAATTCTGTTGAGGCAGAATCCTGCTGGATTGAAATCTTACAGGAACACAAACCTAGCATAATTGTGGGATGTATATACAGGCACCCCTCGTCTAATCTTGATAATTTTATATCTCAACTAGAAAACCTCGTCAGTCCCTTTAATCAATCCAAGCATCAAGTCTTTAACCAGGGGGGCATGAATATTGACTTTCTAAGAGTAAGTACACATTCCAAAACTGAAGACTACCTTGATATGCTAGTAACCTCCCCCCAGTCATAACAAAACCTACTAGGATCACAAGCCATACCGCAATCTCTTATTGATCATATTTACACAAATGCCTCTACTGACCAAATCATACCTGGTATTGTAACCACGGACATATTAGACCACCTGCCCACCTTCTGTTCCATTAGAAGACAGATAGCAAGGCTAAAATCAAAGAGATTCTTCAGGGACTATTCAAATTTTGACTCTGAGACCCATCTGAATGATATAAAGTCAGCTGACTGGAGTAGCATCCTCCATGACCCAACCGACATCCACACTAAAGCCAGCGGCTTTGTCGAAAAACTTAAAGGCATAGCCAATAAACATGCGCCAATTAAACGTATACCCCGCAGCCGTCTAAAACGAAAGATTCACAAACCCTGGATAACAGATACCTTATTAAAATCTATAAGAAACAAGCAGAAAATGTATCGCACGCACTTTCTTTCTAAAGATCTAGACAAGGTAGCTTACTATAAAAAAAATACTCAAATACTCTGAATAAGCTGAAATGGACCTGTAAGTCATCCTACTATAAGCAGCAATTTGAACTAAATAAGAACAACCTATAAAATACATGGAAGTTAATTGGCACCATTATAAACAGGAAACCTAAAGGACACACTGTACCAGCAAAGTTACACTACAATGGAAAAACCTACACCGACAAACATGACATTGTCAATCAGTTCAATGAGTACTTTATAAATAATGGTCCAAATTTGGCATCTACAATTCACTCAAGTATAAAACCTGATACTTTCCTCCCAGCAACTCATAGTTCTATTTTTTTTCTTTCCCCGGTGGATTCAGCGCAAATTGAGGTAATTAGCACTATCTGGCCTTGATAGGCACAAAGCCACTATTCATATCCCTAACCATCTAATCAAGATTGCCAGCAATCTCCTTTCAACTCCCCTCACAAACTTATTTAATGAATCAATTGAATCAGGTATTGTCCCGGATATTTTCAAGATCTCAAAGGTTATCCAAGTCTTTAAGACTGGTGCAGTGACAGACCCTGGCAATTACCGTCCCATTGCTTTCCTCTCTCTGTTTGCTAAAATCCTTGAAAGACTAGTGTACAATCAGCCAAGTCATTTCCTAGAAAAGGAAAACATTCTTTTTAAACACCAATTTGGCTTCAGGAAAAATTATTTTACTGACCAAGCAATTCTTGAACTAACTGACAATCTTACAATGAAAATTGACGGCAATGAAGCTATATGCAGTATTTTTCTTGACCTATCTAAAGCCTTTGATGCTGTCAACCATCAGATCCTACTACAGAAATTATACACATACGGGATCCGTGTTGTCCCTCTGCAGTGGTTTAAAAGCTGTCTTGAAAGCAGAACACAGTATGTTGAAGTTGAATATGTTAAATCAAACCCACTTTCCATCCAATGTGGTGTACCACAAGGTTCTACCCTTGGCCCACTTCTGTTTTTTGATATATATCAATGGCATGCCCAAATGTTTAGAAAAGGCAAATATTAGAACATTTGCAGATGACACCACTCTCCTCTACTCTTCCAATTCTCTACAGGACCTTGCAAAAAACTATAAATGAGGAATTCAACCATCTTCTTAGCTACCGCTCAGCTAATAAATTTTCTGTAAACTTTAAGAAAACCCACTATATGACAATCTCTTCCCCCTAAAAAGCAAATAAACTTAAGCTTAATTTACGCAATATTGAAGAAAAGAACTACATCAAATACCTAGGTATCTACATCGACACAAATCTAAATTGGGCTCCCCACATTCAGCACATAAACAGAAAAATATCTAAAAACTTGGGAATCCTTTTCAGATTACGCCATTTCTTAACTTTAAACACCCTCAAACAAATATGTTACTCACTTATCTACCCCTACCTTCATTATGGAATTATGAGTTGGGGAAACACATACCCAAGTAGATTAACTAAAGTTCAAACAAAACAAAATAAATGTATACCCTGCATATTTTTTAGCCATAATAGAGAAAGTGGTGCACTCTACCTCAAACTTCTACATATACTTAACATAGATAGCATTTTTAAACTCAAAATCTCCTTGTTCGCTCACAAAATCTCACGAAATGAAGCCAATATCCCTGAAGTGTTTCAAAACTACCTCGTGAAGGTGTCTGATATTCACTCACACGATACCAGATATGCCTCAAATCTTAACTTTCATGTACCACGTGTAAGGTCAAATTACGGCAAACACACATTTAAGTTTGCCATAACCAAAACTTGGGAAGAGATTCCTACTAAGATAAAAACACTTAGCTACCATAAGTTCAAAAAAGAATATAAGCGAATTCTAGTTAACTCTCAAAGGTGACAATTGTAATATGACTGTCTCACATAACCTGACTGCTGGCATAATCGTCCATAGTTGCCATGGCACCAAGCGCACATTTATTATCTATTTCCAATCATCATATAGCGGTGGTTAGCTCGAAAGCTAAGCTCCTCTGACCACCGTACACTTCTACTTAAGCCATTAATTTTCTTTTTTTTTTTCCTTCTTCTTCTCCTTTATTAGTGTATTCCTACCTTACTATATATGATGTAAATATGTTATAAAGTGTGAATAATAAAATTAAACCGAATTGAATTGAATTGAAAAGCATAGAGACTATGAGCGTCATTGCGTATGATCGCTAAAACGTTGCAGTAACAATGATATAGATAAGTCATTTCTCCAAGTTGCAACAAAGCTCCTTTTTGTTTTCCAAGTCTTCCATCTCACTTTTAGCAATCCAGCCATGCCAGAAATACATCCCAGTTCCTCTCAGTCTCCTGCGCAGAGGCCTCTTTGTGTTGTGAGGAAGCTGGGGAGAAAGAAAAAGACAGCGCGCGGGGCACGATGGGAAGGGGAATGAGAGAAGAGAGGCTCCCGCCTTTTTCCTCTTCCCATCTTCCACGGCGCGCTTTCTATTTTTTCGATTATTGCTATTTTTATAGGGATACCCAACGGGAGCCTCTGCGGAGGAGAGAGCCCTAGTTCAGTTTGCTGTAATCTTTCAAGAAATTAAAAGGAGGGGAAAAGGAGGTGGTTTGTTAAGGTTTCGTCCTTAGTACAGTGGTGATACAAGTAATAGTGCGGATTTAGATATTTGCTAAAAAAATGTGTTCGTCATAAAAATCTGAAAAATGAAAAATGTTATCATGAGTAAATAACATTGGCCTAGTGTCGATACAGTAGAACCTCGATAACTCGAACTCGGATAACTCGAATGCCCCGCTAACTCGAACTATTATTCCTTTCCCTTGATGAAAATTTCACTGAAATTTACCCCGATGATCCGAATTGCCCGCTAACTCGAACTGTTTTTCGTTTCCAGCTTCAGAGTTCGAGTTACCTGGGTTCTGCTGTATCTGTAATGGTCTATCGCTAGCCTCGCGCGCTCGTTCTTTCTTGCGCTCACTACTTCTAAGCTAGTCTATCGCCGGTTAGTGTCAATCCCTCGTGGGTCCCTAGTTTAAAAATCTTAGAACTAGGGGTACCTTCCGGCAAGTGCCAACGAAGCGGATTCGATTGTCTTTTGAGGAATGTGCCTATCCAGATGTTCGCGATTTGTTAGAGGATTTTAGAGGTTTACAATGGATTTCGCTATAGAAAAGGATGGCACTCAACTTTAGAAAAAAAACTTTGGTACATTCTAGGCTTTCACTTCCATTAAAAAATAACAACATGGCTTTGAGCTTTGTTGTCTTTATTGGTAAATTGGTGCTAGTTAGCACCTATATTTTATGGAAATTCAAAACTATAAACGTTGGAAAGTAAAATATAGTTCAGGTGAAGCCTTTGACTACTAAAATTAAAAATTAAAATTAAATTCCGAGCTTTCGTCAATCAACGGCATCATCAGTGATAAGAAAAATATTCCGCATGGTAATATACATATGAAAAAATTGGAGTAAGCAAAATGTGTGAAAAGCGCAAGAATGGGGCGGAATCAACGGAATGTATCCGGAGGTAAAAAAAATATAAACTTAAATGAAATACAAAGATCTAATGAGTGAGTAGCACAGGACAGAGAGTCTCTCGAAAGGAAAATTGATTCATAATGATGGTCATTTAAACAAAAGGTCTGCAAATTCGTTGCATTCCTCATGCTAGTTTAGGGCTGTAAAAGAACACGCTGGCTGACAAAAATCTCTCCGAAGGCAAAAATAACTTCTATAAAACAAAAGGTCCTCAAATGCGTTGCATTCCTCACGGGACGAGAGGACCGTCTCAATGTAAATCGAGTTGGGAGGGACACGCTGATTCTAATATACTTTTAAGAAACGGTCCAGATAAGAACGATAGCAACAACGGCAACGAACGTGTTGGAATGCGAAAAATGTGCTAACCTTTCTATTGTCTGTACTTACTTCTGATTGGCTTAGACAGCAAAAGTTAACAAAACTTCATAAAGCGGTACATATATTCATCCTTACTTTCCAGCCATCTTCCATGTAACAAAATCTGGTCTCAGTTTGAATAACAAAGAAATCCTATGTGGGGAACATGTAAAATTGTAAATTTTTCTTGGCTATTGTTTTCAACTGTTGTGATTGGTCAAAATCTTTTAACACAAAAAAACACCCTTTCAAAGTGGAGTGTAAATGCATTTTATGGCGTAAACGGTCTTCATGTAGGTTTATGCACTCTCTGTGTAAAACTGAGAACATTCCTATGTGGGGAAAGCACCGTTGCCGCATAAAAAAAGAAATTGCTATCCACCTTACCCGGATCATTACTTAATTTTGAGACTACAACCCTATTGCTCGACTAACTACCGCATAGAATTCAATTTACAAAGGTAAGGATAATACTGAGAACCCTGGTTCTGAGTCGAGAAGCGAACATCTACCTCAACTAGGAGAAATCGAGCTGCGAAGGACAAGCTGGTTTTTACAAACATTGGAACGTAAAAGCCTATCCCGCCTTGGTAGCTGCTGCTTTAAACGGAATTTATAAAGCACACCAGAGCACTAATAGCCCTTTCAAACTAGAAATCGATTTAAAGCTTGCTTACCTTTTAGGGCCTCTTGAACAGAAAACGAACAGCTGCACACGGGACCCAATTTTGAGCCACGAGTTGTAAATACAAGATCATGACCTCAATGCACAAATATGGGGTCTTACTTACACCCAAATAAGGTTAAAAATGCAAATTTTAGAGGGCTACGGAGAATTAAAGAGTTTTGCCTACATTGCGCGGGATTATAAATCTGCCATCGAGGCAACCTCGCTTCTCAGCTCGGTTGCCTCGTTGGCAATAACTAATTAATTGCCTCTCTGCTTGGGATATCGGCTGTTTTTTCTTGAGGTTTCCGCTTTAAAATCCGCAAAAATCCATATAACAAAGAACAAGTCACCACAAACTTTACGATTTTTCCAAAAAGCCCTCCACTTTCAACACCCGGTGTTTTTTATGTAAAACTGTCAACCATGAGCAATACGCGCAAACTTAACTTC